TCATGGGTCAAATTTCGCTAAAATTGAAAAGGAGAGAATCTGCCATTTTTATAATTTTTTCTCATACATATACATGTTTTTATGTTGTGTAGAAAGTTTGAGTTGATTCTGACTAAAAGTTTTCAAGTTATGACGATTTTAATGAAAATACTTTTACATGAATGCTACCACCATTATTATTATTATTATTATTATTAATAGGTAGTTAGACAGATGAGTTCAGGTGATGCAGTCCTAACTCAAGTGGTTCTCTCTCACTCAGGGAAGATGCTGTTTGTTGGCACTACCAATGGTACCATACAGTCGGTGAAGTTCCCGCTAGTTGAACCAGGAGAATGGCATGAGCATCAGGCACACTCTGCACCTGTGGCCAGGGTTAGACCATACAGTATATTTTATTATTATTATTATTATTTAAATAAGTATTATTATTATTATTTATTTAATATTATCATTATACATTATTATGTACATGTAAAATGTTACTTTTATATTCTTTCTCTCTCTCCCTCCCCCTCCCTCTCTCCCTCTCCCTCTCCCCAGATGTGTATCTCATATGATGATCAGTTCCTGATATCAGTTGGAGAAGATGGTACTATATTCAGTTTCAGGATCATTGATAAAGAAGGACGGATGCTAAAGAGAGAGAGAGACTCAAACTATGCCGAGGAGATATTGATAACACGCTCAGACCTTGAGGAAAAGGTAAGATATACCATACTATGATGTATAATGGGAATATGTAAGGTCATTGGTCATTGGTCATTGGTCATTGATCACTGGTCACTGGTCATTGGTCATTGGTCACTGGTCATTGATCATTGGTCATTGGTCACTGGTCATTGGTCACTGGTCATTGATCATTGGTTATTGGTCACTGGTCATTGATCACTGGTCATTGGTCATTGGTCACTGGTCATTGATCATTGGTCACTGGTCATTGGTCACTGGTCATTGATCATTGGTCACTGGTCATTGGTCACTGGTTATTGGTCACTGGTCATTGGTCATTGGTCACTGGTTATTGGTCACTGGTCACTGGTCATTGGTCATTGGTCATTGGTCACTGGTCACTGGTCATTGATCATTGGTCATTGGTCACTGGTTATTGGTCATTGGTCACTGGTCACTGGTTATTGGTCACTGGTCACTGGTCATTGGTCTTGGGGCATATTTATTATGAGAAAGTTTGACTATAATTGATTCAAATTTTAAAATAATAATTAATGTAATTACTAAAATGTGTCCATAGAATACAACAATGTCTGAACTACGTACTCGAGTTGAAGAGTTGAAGATGGAGAATGAGTACCAGCTAAGACTGAAGGACATGAACTACAATGAGAAGATCAAGGACCTCACGGATAAGTTCATACAAGAGATTGAAGCACTTAAAGCCAAGAATGAAGTACATACAATGCACTCTGTACATTGTACATGTAAACTGTCTCTTTTTAAAATAGAATTTAAGGACTGATAAGGAGAGACTAGAGAGCAGATATGAGGAAGAGATTCATCAACAGTTGGAATCACACTCAAGGGAGGTGCAGGAGAGAGGTCAGTCATTAATAGCATAGCAACATTATTATTATTATGCATGTATTTTACGTGTATAATATGCATGTACATGTGGTGGCACTAATAATTAACTTAATCTTTTGCTAAATCCGCTATAAATTACAGTTAAAAGTGACATTAAATTCTTAAATTTTGAAAACTACATAATAATAATAATAATAATAATAATAATAATAATAATAATAATAATAATAATAATAATAATAAAAGCGAAAATTCTACTACAAATTGATAGTAACTTCTAATTATAATTGTATGATACAAATTCCTGAAAGTATCCCTCTCATTATTATTTAACCTTACACATGCAAGACCCATCTCCATTACAAGTGATGGAATCAGATATCTTAGTACACAGATCAACTCCACAGTCACACTTATCCAGCTGACACTTGCAGTAGTCATAATACTCATAAGCTGAAGTGGCTAATATCAAACACTTGCAGACTTGGTCCCCAGTACATCGTGCTTCCTTCTTCTCTTTCAATATAGCACATGGTTGACACTGGCATGAATCAGGATAGATAAACTGATGCCGATTATCTGTAATGCTGGCCTTGTCCTTTAGCTCCTCACCAGTATCTAATGAACCAATGATTTATACACTGAATGGATATCAGCACTGCATGAATATCAGCATTGCATATTGTTAATAATGTACTTGTAGGCTTGTGTCTATCTTGATAACTTACTTAGACTCTCACTGTAAGCTGCAGCAATGAAGCAGCTAATGACAAGAAGGACAGCAATCTTCATTATTGTACTGGATATATTGATCCTATTTGCTGGAGACTGAGAGAGAGAGAGAGAGAGAGAGAGAGAGAGAGAGAATCAGAGAGTGTTAAGTCAGCTATAATACATGTACATGTACGTGTAGTTGTGAGTTATTTTTAGTTAATTATTTTTGATGTTTTTGATATTTATTGCATGTTATGGATACATGCAACTGCCAACCCAAACAAGCATTAATGGGATAAATTAAATAATTATGATTAATTAATTTTAATTAAGAAGTATCTTTTGAATTCATTTCTTTTGACAATGATTAATGTACACGTACATGAATTTATAATCAAATATTGAAGTTGTGTCAAATTTTATTAAAATAATAATAAAGACACTGTTATATTAAACTAAACTACAATAATAAACTAATGATAATAATAATAATACATGATAGATACTACAGTTCCCTCTTCTCCATAGAATATCTTATATATATAATTATTCATTCAGTCAGTCAGTACTAGTAGTAATAGTACATTTACAAGCTGGTGTCCCTCCTCTACACTCCAGTGTATTGCTAGCTCTATCTTCAGTGCAGTATCCCTTAACACACTCACAGTGATGAGGTCTATAAGTCCTAGAGTCTGAGCTACTGCACCAGCACTGAGCCTTGCAGTGATACACTGGACCTACTAGTGTGCATTGATCTAATGGACACTGGCAGCTAGTGGCATATATAGAGCCAGCATGGACCTCTTGTAGCATCTCCTCACTAGTGCCTGTATTATAGAATAGATGTAGTGTATATAATAATAATAATAATAATAATAATAATAATAATAATAATAATAATAATGATAATAATAATAATAACTTACTTATACTCTCACTGTAAGCAGCAGCAATGAAGCAGCTAATGACAAGAAGGACAGCAATCTTCATTATTGTATTGGACTGATACAGAGAGGGAGGGGGGAGAGGGTTAAAATGCTATTCTTAGGCAGCAGTGCCTTACCTAGTGACAGCTTATTAGGACCAATATTAATTAATTGATTAATATTAATATCAATTCACATAATAATATTAATGACTATAACTGGAACGGTCATAAATTATTATTATTATTGTTGTTGTTATTGTTGTTGTTATTGTTGTTGTTGTTGTTATTATTATTATTGTTGTTGTTATTATTATTGCTGTTGTTATTATTATACATTATAGAGACTACTACTAATACAAAGTTGATGGGAGAGTATGAGAAGTATCAGGAGCTACAGGCACGGAGCCAGAGACTCCAGGAAGACTATGAGAGACAGCTGCAAGAAATGGAGGACGCTAGAGAGAAAGCACTTCAGGAACTAACGGAGCACTATGAGAGGAAACTGCACGAGAAAGGAATCATGCTAGACAAAGTATGTACATGTACACTGTACAGTACCATATAGCAGGAAATTTTGGAGGGATATAAATTTGGTGGATTTAGTGTTTTGATAGCCATTCACCAAAATAAAATCCGCCATTTTGAGCCATTATACGCATGCTCAATGGCACGTGGCCACAAATTCGCCAGTTTAAAATCCGCCAATCACCAAAATTTAGCAATTCGCCAAATTTTAGCTCCTCCGAAATTTCGTATAGTAGAAGGATTCTTCCTCAAATGTTCAGCACCTTCTTCTCTTTCTTTAGGGCGCTGATGATCTTCGGAAGCAGCAGAGAGAGGCTGAAGAGATCCAGCGACAGATGGAGGAAGACACAGACCAAGAAATACTAGCACTGAAGAATCATTATGAGAGACAGCTCCATGAACAGTGTGATGAGAACCTTAAACTGAGAGGAGATACCGGAATATTGAAGAAAAAGGTATTATTATTATTATATATATTTTTTTATTATGAACAAGTCAAAACAAACAAATTAAAACTAACTATTATTATAAACTAAAACCAAAACAATAATTATTATATCATCATTATTATTATTATTATTATTATTTTATTTTTATTATTATTATTATTTTATCTGGTTGTATAACCTATATTAATACATTATACATGTACATGTATATCATATTCTGTTGTTTTTCTTGTCCATTTACATGTACTTATACCAAGAGTAAATAAAACCCACCCCATTATTATTTACTCTTCCTTATACTCATTATAGGTAGACAGTCTTCAAGGTGAGATTAATGAACTGAAGGGCAGCATCAACCAGCTAAAGCAGGAGGTGAAGAAGAGAGAAGGAATCATCAACTCACTGAGGAATGACATTGAAGGAATGAAGAAAGAAATACAGGAGAGAGATGACACCATTAATGATAAAGTAAGTGTAGAATTGTTAAATTACAAGAAAATAAAGCTCCACCAATTTTCCTACTATTAGTACAAAATATATTTATGTATATAGAATTTATTTGTCTTTTCTTTTAGGAAAAGCGCATTTATGATTTGAAGAAGAAGAACCAGGAGCTGGAGAAGTTTAAGTTTGTATTGGATTATAAGATAAAGGAACTGAGGAAACAAATGGAGCCGAGAGAGAATGAGATAAGAAGCAAAAAGGAACAAATAAGTAAAGTAGGTGTTAGAAAATGTAATAAAAAGTTGTGGTGATTTTGGAGCCATTTTTTGGAAAAAACCGTGGGCTATAGCCTTGGGTAATTTTCAGATTTTTGACGTTTTCTTAAAATGGCTGTAACTTGAAAAATTGAAGTCGGAATCAGCTCAAACTTGCTACACAGCATAAGGGCATCAATATGTATCAGAAAATGTAATAAAAATTTGGGTTGATTTCGGAGCCATTTTTTAGAAAAAACCATGGGCTATAGTACAGGGATTTTTTCAGAATTTTGACGTTTTCTTAAAATGGGCGTAACTTGAAAAATTTAAGTCGGAATCAGCTCAAACTTGCTACACAGCATAAGAACATCAATATGTATCAGAAAATGTAATAAAAATTTGGGGTGATTTGTTGGCCATTTTTTGGAAAAAACCATGGGCTATAGTACAGGGATTTTTTCAGAAACTGAC